AAGGAGCAGGGAGGAGAGGAACATGCGCAGGCTAAGAATGCAAACACGCCTCCCTGCACGGCCCAGCGCCACAGGGATAGAGGCTGGTGTAAGTGAATCATGCCCCTGCCTCTCCGTTGCAGGGAAAGGCTGCATATTTCCAGAGCACCGGGCACACTCACACCCTCATGTAAGGGCCAAAGCAAATGCCAAGAAAATGGTAAAAGCTCTTTGCTTATTCACCATTTTAGGTTTATAGACGCAGAGTGTGTAGGACAGAACCTGGCATGTGCTAAGTCCCATNTAAAAGCTCTTTGCTTATTCACCATTTTAGGTTTATAGACGCAGAGTGTGTAGGACAGAAGCTGGCATGTGCTAAGTCCCATACGAGTGTTTATTAAAAAAGATAAAAACCACCCTCCCTGAGAAAACAAAGGGCAGAGGTTTTCGCTGTATATCCTTTTTTTAGTTCCTCTGACTAATTAAATATTTGTTGATTCCCAGCCCATGGTTTCAATCTACCGAGGGGGATTTTCAAAGGCTTTGGTATGCCATTGGCAAAACACCTCCGAATGAGGGAAGAACATTCCCCAGACTTGCAGAGACCTGCTGGAGGGCGGCTGAGAGCTCTGCTCTGCAGTCTTGCCCCACAAGTGCCAATCACCTGCTACATCTGAGGGGTGGGGGCCAAGGCTGCTCCCCATATCCCCCTACGTGTCTACCCCACCCTTCCTGCCCAACCCCAGCCAGCTCCAAATGAAAGCTCCAGCTTTCATGGCCTCCTCCAATGAACCCAGGCCCCTGTCCTTGCGAGTGTGCAGGCTGCTTAAACTGCAGTGGGAGGCTGTACTATGTGCCCAGGGTCCCCACAGTTCAAGAATCAAGACACAGCCGGGCCTGCTAACTTTTGAACCGTGCTCTGACCCACAATTTGTGTGAAGGCCTTGCACAGGAAATCACACCCCAAGGGCCCACTTGTTACCATGACCCAGATAACGGCAGGAGGGTGTTACCTCCAAAGCCCGCCTGAACCATGGCAGGCCCGTTTTCAGACGTGGGGCCTGAAAGTCCTAGAGAGGCTGTTGGGGTTCCCAGCATCACAAGGCAGCCTTTGCCAGGTGTGGTGCGTGAGGGAGGGCTGGGCTAGACGGCTCCCCAGCCCAGAGAGGGCCACAGCGTCCTCTATGTCACTGCCATCCTGAGAATCTTGCCAAGATCAAAGCTGGGACCCAGAGCTGGGTCGGGGCAGAATCCCCACTGCGTTTGTTGGAGACAGAAGAACTCTTCCCTCAGCTCCTCCCTGAGGCGAGGGCTTTATGAAGAGTTGCTGGGGCTCCTGCTGCTCCACCT